GCAGCTTACTATGGTAGGCTGTGCCAGTGCAAGTCACAAAAGCATAGATCCACAGCGTGGACCCTCATGGATGTTCATTATTTTTTTGCATATTGTGACAACAAAATTACCCCCCAACACATCTGCATGCACAGAGGTGACCTATGGTTTGATGATGGTTTGGAGGGGAATCAATCCCTTGTAAAATTTCTAAGGATCTGTGAGAATCTGTGCCTTTGATTCATGCTTTTGCACTAGATGTGATTGTCAGCGGACAAAGGTGTGATCAGTGATTTTTTTTTTGGTGGTGGTGGGGGGTTAAGGGGAGATGATTGTGGGGAAGGGGCAAAAGTATGCCATTTCAGAGAATCTGTTTTATTGGACCCAATTTGTGTTTGTGCATTTTTCCTCTGTCCAGGTCCTCTGTCCTTTGAATTTTTATTTAAACATCACTGTTCCCCTCTCCTGCTCCCTCTCCTTTGCCATCCTTACTCCTGTGGCATCCTCCTTTCTCCTTCCTTCTCCCTTTTCTTTTCCCCAGTCACCCAAATTGCTCTCCTTTCTCACTTCAGCACAGCACAACACAACACAACACAGCACACTTCAACATTTGAAGTGGCCCTGAGATTGCTATGAGTGCATGCTGGATTAGCAGAATTACCTATTTCTTCCAATGGATGAGTAAAAGTAGACAAGGACATGTAATCATGCAGAGGCACAACAGGCAAACTCTTCCTTAGTTGGTACTTGGTGCTCCTGGGTTCCTTTAATTCCATTTCCTGTCCTGCTGGTGGTTCACTTGCAGCATACAATGCGCTCTGGCACACAGTGTGGGAATTGCTGCCATAAGGAAGCAGAACACTGTCAAACTGTTGTGCAGAAAGAGCGTGTATCAATAACGGCTGATGGAACGCAGGACAGAAAATGAGTTCTAGCTGGTGTGCTGGATCATTTTAAATGAATCCCGCATTGTATAATGAAAGGAAAAATGAAATGATCTTCAGTGAAATGTGGTCACAGATTCCATCCAAGACTTTTCCTGCAATTAAGTTACATTTGCTGATCCAAGATGCCTTTAAGTGAAGCATTAATATAAAGGCTCTGATTATTCACAGTCAAAGAAAGTTGATTCTTTTACTTGGAAATCAAAGCATTCTTTCACAGTGGTTCTTTTAGAGTTGTCTTCACACAGGGATTCATGCGCACAAGCTATGCTTGCTGTCTCTGGCAAGCTCGTCTTTCTACACTCTAAACAACATGGTCAACGTTCAGCCCTTTGGCTATACATGGGAGCAAAGTTTCGTCCCCTGCTCACTTCCTTACACAAAATGCAAATGGTTTTTAAATTCATTGAGTTTTGGCCAAGCCCCCCCCCCCAAACATCCCAGCCTTCAGTGACAATCAGAACAATGTACAGGATTGCGTATGCAAAAGTAGCCGCTTCTTAGCATTTCTCACATTTTGAAGGGTTGCAGATTTTGCCATGATCAGAGAGCTAAGTTTGCGAAGCCAACTGTGAGCCCTTAGACTTGTTCAAGCTTAGAGAATGAAGGAATCTTTATTTGCGTCAGCCGTCGGCCATAGCAATAAAACAACAATACAAAGAATAGAAATAAAAAGTCAATTATATAAAATGCATTTTAGGGTTTTGAATCAATAGTCAAATAGTGGATCTTATTCTGATTGCCCCAGCTAAAAACCTTGCAACCTCAGACAGCATCTCCTTATAATTAAGGGTCAGCAGACTCCAGACTTCCTGAATCTGCTTAGTTTCTCCCCCACTTTAACTAAGATCCCAAGATCTACCAACCAGAGCCAGGTGCAGAAGACACAGAATGAGAATAGAAGAGCCCAGTGGAGAAATTCTGGATCAGATATGTTTTCAGTAACAGCCGAATTGGGGTGGGAAAAGTCATCTTCTCATCTTTAGACAATTGAGAGTCAGAAACCCATGCTGATTTACTGTAGATAAGCCTGATTTATCTTCTGCCCCCACTCAGCCTAGATCACATAACAAATTACTATTCAAAGTGGGTGGTGGGAGTAGCTTCAAAAGTACTTTGTGACTAGTGCAGTTCAAAGAAGGGAAAGGCATTGGTTTAGCCTGAAGAAAAAAGTCCTCTGTGAGAACACTCTTAAAAATTCCTGAAGGGATGTCTCATAGAAGAGGGCAAAGGCATGTTCTGGCATAAGTCACAGGGCTAGGTGAACTGCAATATCTGGATCAGTCTCTACACTATTCCTGTTTCTAGGGCTTCTTCCAGAGTGGTTCCCCCCCCCCGACTATGTAATTAAAGGGGGAATCCAGGTCTTTTTTTTCCAGATGGGAGACACTAACTTTAACATCCTATACCCTTTTAAATGTATTTGTGGGAGGGGATGGGGGAGGGCAGCTTATTGATTTGTGTTTTTTTGTTCTTGTTTTTATTATGTATTTTGTGTTTTTATCTTGTATTTTTATGTTGTGAACCGCCCTGAGATCTATGGATGAAGGGCAGTATACAAATTTAATAAAAGAATTTGACTTACTAGTCAGGTTTTCTTTCTTTTCTTTTTTTAAACCAAAAGCCAACTCAAAGCAATTTACAACAGAAGACAAAAATTAAAACAAAACAAAAGCTACAAACATTGATATATCTATAAAGCAGGCCCACCCACTAAAAAGGGCTAAATCTCTCCCAAGTTAAAGGCCATAAGCCTGGCTGAAAATGAATGTTTTCCTGGTGCTGAAAGGTGGCTGGTTATGGTGCCAGGCATGCTTCCCTGGGGAATTCCATAACTGGGGAGCCACCACTGAAAAGGCCCTGTTCTTGTATTGCCACTCTCTGAATCTACCTCAGAGATGGTACATACATGGAGAAGAACCTCAGATGAATCCAGGTCTAGGTTGGTTCATGTGGGGAGAGGAAGTCCTTGAAGCTTTGGGTCCAGCTCTGCACACACCACACTTCAAATTGCAATAACTCAGGGTGCATTGACACTGACTGACTAGGGCTGGAGGAGCTCAAGGGAACTTTTAGTCTCTGGGCTTTGAGGACATTTTTGGAGAAAGCACCTCTCTCCTGCTACGCCCACTCTTGTCCTATTGCTTGTCTGCCTACTGCACAACTGAAAGGGGGTGAGAGGATTTCCAACTTTGAGTGAAAATAGGTTCATAGCTACTAAAAGTCTCCAACTTTGTTTAAAAAGAAGTGCCCCGAATTGCGGTGTGAATTCATAGCCTGACTCCAGTCTTCTTAACCGGAAATTAAAATGATACAAATCTATCGTATGACTGCACCTGGAATACTGTGATGAGTTCTGGTTGCGGCGCCATCAAAAGGATGCTGTAGGGTTGGATAAGGTAATGAACCAAATAATCAAGGGCAGAGTTACAGTGCGATGTTTCCAGCAGAAGTTTCCTGAGCTTTTTGCAGGTGAGTCATTACGTTGTTCCTTACTCCCAGTTAAAGATAAACCTTGCAAATTAGATTTCAAAAGAAGGGGCTCAGAGAACAGAGGCTAAGAGCCTGTGATGTACATATGCATTATCTATACATTTTGAGATTTGACTTTGATGCTTCCAACTCCTTTGAGAAGATCTGAATAACATATGGCCTTATAATGTAAATCATATTGTTGACTTTTAAATGACTTAATCAGATTACCTGGGGGATACGAACTGTGTGCCAGACAAACGAAATGATCAATAACAATGAGAGAGAAATGGACAGATTAACAGAGCTGAGACGTTCAGCGTGTATTTGATCATTCCTTTCACTGGAAACAGCACTTTGATCTGATCTCAGGGGAATAGCAAGGAGGGTCTGTAGGAAGCAAAAAAGAGTGCGTAATATGGCGCCTTAAAGACAAACCCATTTATTGTGACATAAGCGTCTGTGAGCTCCAGCCGCTATTTTAACATTGCTACTCCAGATGCGTTAACTACACTCCCCAAATCAGAGGGTGGTTTACAGATGCTGGCATTTTGCTCTGAACTCCTTCCCATCTGTGATTACACTAGAGGTTCATCCCCTGTGCTCAACATTCTGGCAGTGGTGTTATTGAACAGTAGCTCGGTTCATAATGTTGATCCCTGGTCTCACCGTGAGTGAACAGTCTGGTCTAGCATGTGTAACACATGGGGGATCTGATGCATCTCTGCCTTCCTGTGTACTGTGTCCAATACTAATCCAGACTAGAGGGTTTGTAGGGAAGGCATTTCATAGTTCATTCTCCCTCACTGAGAAGCCTCTCCTCTTAGCAGCTGGAGTAGAGGGCCTGTGTCTGGTGTGGGGTCAAGGAGACAGGTTGAGGATGCTGTTGCTGTACTGCTCACCTTGCTGCCCCAAAACCTCCCTGACCAAGCTGGCTGATGTAGTTGGTCTTGTAGGATCTTCAATATCCAAGGGCGCCTCAGAGGCAGGTCAGGGTTTCATGGTTTCCAAAGCAACTAAATGGAACTGCCCCATGAGTGTCAGCAGCTCAACATAGACCAGAATATACACATGTAATGTTCACCTCCACATTCACAGAGATTCGTGTGCTTTGCTCACATGAATGCAAAGCCATGGTTTATGGGTGACATGAGCCCATTCCGCCTTCTCCCTGTGTACACTCCGTTTCATCTACCAACATTGGTTCAAACCATAGTTTCCAATCCTGGATTGGAAGGCAACAGCAAACCAGGAAATAAATAAGCACATGATTCCATGAATTACTTGTAATTTCTTCCTGGCCACCAAGTTGAGGTTATGTCTCAAGTAAACCATGGGAAACTGTACTGATTGAATTTCTACTTTCCACAGTGTGATCAAAGGCACAAAGCCAGCCTGGAAACATGTGCCATCCCAGACGTATCCAAATCTGAGTAACAGAAAATGCTTTCCTTGTAGCTGAACATAAATGCTTCCCAACAGAAGGATGCTTAAAAATGGTATTCTACAAGGATATTCTCATGTTCCTAGAAATCAGAGGAACACAAAAATGGCTTAGTACTTAAAATTATTTTCAAATATGAACTCTTAAAGAAACACCAGTTACAGATTAACAAATTCAAATGCCTTTAATAGTCTACGTTTCAGCACAAGGGCTGGTATATGAATTTTGAAATTGACAAAAGCGATTCAAAAAGTTCTCTTTAAATTTGAAATAAAGGGAATGAAAATAGAGGTGTGTAATTAAGTAGTTTTTAGAACACGATTATGATTATCAACATTTATTTCTTGAAATAATAACCTAAGATGCTTTTTTCTGCTTTACCTTCTTCAAGTATTGTAGTGGAGCTTCGTTTGTCTGTAAAATAAAATAAACACATTTGTGTAGTTGAAGGAAGCAATAATAAAGCAGCAGTGGTGCAGCACTCGCCTAACACTTAACCTGCAACCATTTTGGCAAGTTTCAGTCCTACTGCTATAATTTCATTACAGCTGCACATTTAACATGAATCAGGCAAGCAAACAAAACACAACCACCAAAACAAACAAGTATGCAATTCAAGATCTACCTCCAGAAAACCTGAATTCTGTAATCTCTGAACATTATGAAAATGAAACGCATTTGCATACATTTGCTCATGTTGTATAACCTAGTCTGTTTGTGCTGGGCACTGAAAGAGCCAAAGAACTATGCAAATCAATGAACACTTGTGCTCTGTGTTCAGCCTCACCTTCAAGACCTTATGTAAGGCCTGCCATTACATTTTCAAACCTACCTTTACAGTTTTAGGGTGCCTCTGCACTCTCAGTTTACAGGTGGTTGGCACCATCAATCAAGGTGCTGTCCACCTAAAAGCCAAATATTCAATTGGGGCAGGGAGCAGCAATCTGTGCTCCAACCACATCAATGAACATACTCAGCAGTTGGGAATGTTACCAATATTATAAAAAAACCTGATGGGTCAAAACCTCCATAACAACAAGTACCTTGCTTTGTTTCAGAAGCTGTCTTTCTGCTCTTATCAGGTCTAGAGGTACCCTCATTATCAAGATCAGGGGTCAGCAAGGTTTATCTTGCCGGGGGGGGGGGGGGATCGGTCCCGCAGAGATCCCTCCATGGGCCTGATCGCCTGCCTGCCTGTGATTTTCTGCGTCTGCGCTGATGTGATTTTCGGGGCCACGGAAGCGAGTCCCCGCGCTGTGCCGTGCCGGTTTAGCGCAGTGCACGAGCAGGCAGCTCAGTTCGGGGGTGGCTCGGGGGCCGGTCAAACGACCTCCGGCCCATGGGCCTTAGGTTGCTGACCCCTGATCAAGATGCTAATTTCAACATAACACTAAGGAGATCACTTGGTTAGAGCACAGTGCTGATAATGCCAAGGTTACAGGTGTGATCCCCATAAGGGACAGCTGCGCATTCCCTCATTGCAGGGGGTTGGACTAGATGATCCTCAGGCTCCCTTCCAACTTTGATTCTATGATCTGTTGCCTGGACAATTTGACTGTTCTGTCAGTGAAAGCATTTCCGCTTGCGCAACAAAAAGATCTCCCCCAGCCCCCACTCCTCTGGGGGTTCTCCCAACCCTCCAAAGTAGATTTGCGGAAGGTGCAGGGGGGCACGCATGGGGAGGAAGCCCCACTGTGCAAGGGGGAGTCCTTCTGCTAATGAGTTAGTTGAATCCAGCCCCATATTTTGTGCATGCAATGTGATTGGAATAAATATAGCTCTCTTCAGTGAAAAATAATGGCAAGCTATATATTAAGGTGTTAAAAAAACATTTCAACTCATGGAGATGCTAAAGGAGAGCTAGGGGAAACAGCAGCTGTGCTAAAATACAGAGATATGCTAAGGACAATAATTTAGTATTAGAGATGTTTGGAAAATAATACTTGAAAGTAGCGGTGTCAGTTACATAAGGTTAACACCATCTCACTTGCATTCTGTCTTTAAGGCCCACAGACAGTCTCTTCTTTTGCAGAAGATACACAAAAGAGAGCTGCACCAAATTCAAACAAAAATCTTGTGTTCAGATTGTGATTAGCAGATACGATTACTCCTGACTTCCCTGCACCCTCCTGTCAAACAACAACAAACAACAACAACAGTACAAGATTCTGCAGTCAAATCTTTGAATAACCATGGAACATAGGGTGGTGTGACATGGCATCCATTTAGATCAGTGTTTCCCAAACTTTTTTGGGCAACGGCACACCTGTTTACTGAAAAAAAATCTCGCGGCACACCACCATTAAAGCCCCGCCCCGTGACGTCAGCGCGCAGCGTCACGCCGGGAGGGACGCACGAAAGTGAAAGTTTTTTCCCTCCCCCTTGCCGGGGAACCTCCAAGCTTTGGGGGTGGGAGGAAGCAGCAGAGCGAGGGACTGAGGGACGGCGGCAACTGAGGCGGCGGCGGCTGTGGTGGTGGTGGCGGCGATAGCGGGCGGAGGAGGGGGCGGCGGCGGGGCTTGAGGAGCCGTCGCCGGGAGTTGCTGCTGCTGTTGTTGCTGCTGCTGCCCGGACATGCCGGCCTCCTCCTCCTCCTCCGCTGTCTCGCGCTCCTCCCTTTTGCACGCGCTGCCCCGCCGCTCGGCACCACCACCGCGGAGCCGCCCCCGGCTCGACGCGGATCCTCGCCGCCGCCGCCTCTCACCGCCCGACTCGCCCGCCTCCTTCCCACGGCACACCAGCCAATGTCTCACGGCACAGTAGTGTGCCGCGGAACACCGGTTGGGAAACACTGATTTAGATTACAGTGGTGCCTCGCAAGATGAAATTAATCCGTTCCGCGAGTCTCTTCGTCTTGCGGTTTTTTCGTCTTGCGAAGCACAGCTATTAGCAGCTTAGCGGCTATTAACGGCTTAGCGGCTTTAAGAAAAAGGAAACAAACTCGCAAGAACTCACAAGACGTTTCGTCTTGCGAAGCAAGCCCATAGGGAAATTCGTCTTGCGGAATGACTCAAAAAACGGAAAACCCTTTCGTCTAGCGAGTTTTTCGTCTTGCGAGGCATTCGTCTTGCGGGGCACCACTGTAGTCATTGCTTAAATGGATGTATGCCTCAAAGAAGCATAGTGAAGTTTATTATTTGGAATACCTTTTCTTTATCCAAGACACTGTTCCATTGAGCATATTTGTTATTTCTCAATCACCTTTACTGTCAAACCTGGGAGGTAATTTTCTCCTATTTGCATTTGTTGGCAAAGCCATTTCCCAGGATTTCCATAAAGTTCTGTGGGCGTCTGCTTACTGAGAGCTCTTGTAGTTTTTAAGCTAGTGTCGGACTTAAGACTGGAGGGGCCAAATCGCCACTTAGAGGAAATGTGTGATTCATGGTGACACTTAAATACGTGTCTTGAGCAGCTATGGGAGCAATCAAAAACCAAGACCTGCGAGGGTATGTGGAATTGGGTACAGGTGAGGATCTGGCTGAGCCTGGGCTCAGCTGTGGCTACGCTGGCTGGAGTCCCCCATTCTGGCTCAGCCACGGATGCACTGCATAAGTCCTCCATCCTGGCTCAGCTGGCATAAGTCTCGAAAAAGGGACATTCCAGGAACATGGCAGGGGGAGACATTTCCCTCTTCCAAACTCTGGTTTAGTTCAGTCACGTGACCTAGCAACCCACTGGCAAATAGGTTGGTGTAAGTCTAATTCTATCTTAAAGGCTTGCTTATTATTTTCTTAATTTTTCATTATATTTGTGTACTGCCCTATACCCGTAGATCTGAGGGTGGTTTGTAACAGAAAATCACATATAAAAAACAGAAAATACATAAAACAAAAATAAAGGCAACCCTCAATCAGCCAAAGGCCTGGTTAAAGAGGAATGTTTTTGCCTGGGGCCAGCTGAACCTCCCTGGGGAGAGCATTCCACAGACGGGGAGCCACTGCAGAAAAGGCCCGTTCCCGTGTTGCCACCCTCTGGACCTGTCGTGGAGGAGGCACACGAAAAAGGACCTCAGAAGATAATATCAGGGTCTGGGTAGGTTTAAATGGAAAGAGGTGGTCCTTGTTTTCCCTCTGCGAGACTCAGACCAGCTCACTTGGCAGTATCCTTGCTCCTGAATTTGGAACAGGAATAAATTGCCCCAGGATAATTTACCCTGGTGTAACATATGCTGACTTCCGATAGCTTGGATTGCTCTGCCCTTTAGGAACTATAGTCATACTTGGGTTGAAGTAGCTTCAGGTTGAGCGTTTTCGGGTTGTGCTCCGCGGCGACCCGGAAGTAACGGAACGTGTTACTTCCAGGTTTCGCGCTCACGCAGATGCTCAAAATGACGTCACGCGCAGGTGGCAAATCGTGACTGGCGCAGACGCGGGTTGCGTTCGCTTCAGGATGCGAATGGGGCTTCGGAATGGATCCCGTTCGCATCCAGAGGTACCACTGTATTCACTTCTCTCTTTATTAGGAGCATTCTGGTATGGTGGTTAGAGTATTGGATCCTGGTTCAGATCCTGACAGAGCCCTGAAGGTCACTAGGTGATCCTGAGTCACCACGTCACAGGGTTGTTGTGAGGATAAAATGGTAAGAAGACCATGTATGCTGCCTTGAACACTTAGGTGGAAGGGTGGACTAAACATTTAATTAATGAAAATAAAATACACATATTTTTATTTCAGAGCTCATAGTTCCAACACTGTATCTCCCACACTGATCTACCAAGATCTAATAAAAAGCATAAAGGTACCCGTACGGGCCAGTCTTGCCAGACTCTAGGGTTCTGCGCTCATCTCACTCTATAGGCCGGGAGCCAGCGCTGTCCGCAGACACTTCCGGGTCACGTGGCCAGCGTGACAAGCTGCATCTGGCGAGCCAGCACAGCACACACGGAACGCCGTTTACCTTCCCGCTGATAAGCGGTCCCTGTTTATCTACTTGCACCCAGGGGTGCTTTCGAACTGCTAGGTTGGCAGGCGCTGGGACCGAATGACAGGAGCGCACCCCGCCGCGGGGATTCGAACCGCCGACCTTTTGATCGGCTAGTCCTAGGCGCTGAGGCTTTTACCCACAGCGCCACCTGCGTCCCTTAATAAAAAGCATACAGGTATTTAAAAGTTGCTGTACCATGAAAATAAATAAAAACTGTTGCTGTACTTACAAATAATGTTGGTTTGGGTGCAAAGACATTTCCTTCCTCGTGTTCAAAAGGCAAATTGACTGCTGGACTTGATACGGCTTTTGCATGCAGATTTTGACTCTGTTTCTGGGGCAAACTATCTCCTTGGGGTTTACCATGAAGACGAATCAACATCTGTTTCATCACAGCCAGTTCCTTAACAAAAAAGAAGTCAAACCATAAGCCTCCATTACTAGTTATAGAACACCCATTTTCTATTCACCAAAGCATGGAAATGGAATCATTACAGCACAATAAGGATGGTTATCTCCCTTTCTGGTCTGATTACTTATTTGAAACCACTTCATAAAGGAAGTAATAAAATAAAAAAGGCACAAGATTTATATAAATAGGAGCTCATCATTTGTGAAATGCTGTGACAGAAAAAGATTTACAGAGCACAGTTAAGCATCCCACTGGCTCTTTTTCACTTAAACTGCCATTTATTTTAAAACGATTCTTTTTAAAGGTTTGTTTTGAAAAGGCAGAGCACTGGCTTAATCCAATCTGCATGCTTACAAATAAGAGGCAGATGGCTGGGATAAGAGAGCATGTCTTACAAAGGCAGATATAAAAAACACTTATTACTCCCAGTAAAGCGAGAGGAGTGGGAACATCCAGGAGAAGACATGCACACTACAAAGATCACAGCAAATATAGGAAAAAATGTTGTAAAGAGATGAGCTTCCCTCTCTGAAACAGAAAAGCAATTTTTTGCCTCTCTCAACAAGTCAGTGCTCTGGAATTGCCTCCCAATCGGGAGAAATGCTCCGTAATGTAATGAAGAGAGAGACATAGGCCATGTTTGCACCCTACATGGTTGAGCATGAATGCGCCCCATCAGTGTGCACCTCTCCCTTCCCCATGGCTTATGCTGAGGCAGTGTTTAGCTTGACAGTTAAAACACTTCAATTTAGTGCTATGTTTGAAGTTGTTATATCGGTTTAAGAGAATTGTGTTAAATTATGCAACAAGTCAATGTCAAACCAAAGTTTGTTTCAGTATAATGTTAACCCAGGATTTTCTAATAGTGAAACTAAACTCTACTGAAGCCCTCTTCCCCATTGCATGGGAGGAGAGGGGATGTAGTAGACGTAGTGCTAAACCATGGTTAAATGTTACCTTTGAATACAACCACAGAGCTCTGTTGAGGGTGGATTATTCTACCCCCTTCATACTTCAACCAACCAACCAAAGCAAACACTTTTAAACACAAGAAAGCATCCAGTTTTAGTTCTGAAAATGTCTTCTTCATTATCAGAAGTTGGAAAACTGTTAATTAACAGAACCATCCGGGCATGTAAATTCTAGTTTGGGGTTCCATTTGTCACTTTTCATCTTGACAGATAATATTTATCTATTTCACAATGATTTGGGCTTCAGGGAAATGTAAGGAGGCCTGGATAAACTCATGCAACAGTGGTGTAAAAAATGAATGCTTGCAGTTTAATGTCAGACAACAACAAGTAGCAGTAGATTGTAAGTTAACAATAGATTTCTTAATTCACATTGTTTCACAGTTTTGGTTACAATTATGAAAATGAGCCTTGGAGGATGAAAGCATGCCATTCCTCATACACAATTACTTATAAGCAGCTCTATAATACCGTAGGATGTAAATTCTTCTGCTCAAAAGGTAAAAATAGGCACACTTTGTTGTACTGACTGTTACATCTACTTAATAAATGCCCAATATTTCAGTTATGGGCTCCTCATAACACTACCGCAAACCCTTAAAGCACACCAAACCACTTTATCCACTGGGTACATTCTTCTTATTGCTCAGTCATTCAATATTGCAAGTATTTGCATAATTCAGCCATGTGCAGTGGCATGTCAAAACAGCTCAACTGCAGAGCAGCTGTTTCAAAGGGCTGCATAACTGATACCAACATGTTGCTGAAAGTTGTAAACTCTGCAAAGATGTTGCCAAAGCAATGCATAGACAAAATTTCTCGATGAAAATAACTTGGACAATTATATTACAAGCACACGCTTCATCTTTACAGTACTGAGGCTGCAATCCTAAGCATATCCACTGGGAAGCTATGGAAATAAGTATTCAGGCAGGTTTAGGATTGGGATGCAAATCATGTTTTCATTTTAGCAACCACTGTGAATGAGTACAACTTTGCTGCACCATATTCTGATGGAAGAGATGTTGAAATTGTACTCCAAAACATGACAATGGTAGCCAATTCTCAGGCTGATAGAGAGTTTACATTTCAGAGAACACAAAGCAATCTTTTAGTAGTTATTTGGCCCTCATATCTCCTGGAGACAGGCCAACTCTCAGGCGAGGGAGGGAGAGAGAATATGCCCTCTCCAAAAATCTTCCCAGCTCCTTGTAAACCAGCACAGTCTTGCATGCGGTAAGTCATGGTCTTAATTTCCATCACAGAACATGAGGAAATCACATCTGAGAAAGTAGGAAAGCCTTCCATGCACTTAAAAAAAAAAAAAGTTTTAATGAAAACCTCTTCTAGCCAATATCTAGGTGTCTTCCAGAAGTGATGCGAGAACCTTTTATTTAAATGTAATCATTTTAAGTGGGGGCTTTGAAGATTAGCAAATTGCTACCCAGCCAAAGCTTCATGGAACATGATATAAATTGAGCAAAGGAACAATACAAGCACAACATACAGTGGATGCTTGGGTTGCGAACGTGATCCGTGTGTTATGCATGTTCACAACCTGCAGCGTTCGCAACCGGCAGCTGCGCTTCTGCACATGCGCAGGTTGCGATTCAGCGCTTCTGCGCATGCACAACCGCCGAAACCAGGAAGTAACCCATTCTGGTACTTCCGGGTTTTGGTGGTCCGTAACCTGGAAAAATGCAACCTGAAGTGTCTGTAACCTGAGGTATGACTGTAGTGCTAAGCAGATTGTTCCACAAGTGCAAGAAAAATCTCTCCCTCTCCCTGGAAGCAGTTTGAGTGCATCCATTCCCAGAGAGCTTCTCAGCCTTATTCCAGCATCAGTCTATGAGCTGGTTCAAACCACAGAGCCCTTGACAATAGCTATGAAAATAATTTAGCAGGTTGTTTTCTTTGGGGGGGGGATGTTATAGTGCCCCTGCCATGACAGTTGTGTGCTGCCTTTGACCCCTTTAAGAGAATCAGAGTTTGACAACACTCTGGCACATGTAGCACGACAATGCTTTGTGGAAGGAGATCACCACCCATAGTACATCCTTTGCAAACTTTGTTCTGTCTGCTGGAGCAAGGGATTTTTTGGGGTAAACTCTGAATGTATTGTATAGTTTGGTTGACACAATGAACATAACTTTCAGGCAAAGTACACAAAGGTAAAATGCTGTGATTTCCAGCATCTGCACAGACATGATTTCCGGCGTCTGCGCAGACACGATATATAGTGCCACGGAAGCGAGTCCCTGCGCAGTGCTGGTTTAGCGCAGCATGCGGGGACTCGCTGAGTGGGTGGCTCGGTTTGGGAGCGGCTCATGGGCCGCTTGTGGCCCATGGGCCTTACGTTGCTGACCCCTGCTCAATGACATAAAGTGTACTAGAGCCTGGATAGAGTAGTTCTTGGGATCCCAAGCACTGAATGCATCCCAAATTACCATATATAAGATGCACCAGACCACAAGACGCACCTAGTTTTTGGAAGAGGAAAACAAGAAAAAAATAAATCTGAATCTCAGAAGCCAGAACAGCAAGAGGGATCGCTGCGCAGTGAAAGCAGCAACCCCTCTTGCTGTTCTGGCTTCTGGGATAGCTGCGCAGCCTGCATTCGCTCCATAAGACGCACACACATTTCCCCTTACTTTTTAGGAGGGAAAAAGTGAGTCTTATAGAGCAAAAAATACGGTACTTATGAGATCTCAATGGATCTACTCTGAGGAAAACAACCCATTCCTTAAAAAACAAAACAAACGTACAGAATATCTGTAGGTGATTCTGCTCCAGAGCTATCTCTCACTGCTTTGGTGGTTCATAAGTATGTTTCTGTTCATTTGTTATATCTGAATAGAAAACTAGAAGGGTTTACACAGCTGGACAGCTACTGCAACATGATTGAAAGATTCATAGTCACCTGGGAAAATGAATTAAGGACTTTTTAAATATTTGGATGATCTTACTGGCAACTGTTTCTTGCTAAAACCCCTATCCTTAATAATAATAAAAATAAAAAAACTTGGCTCTCTCCAAAGTACGTTTTGTATAACGTGCTTGCCAGTTTGATCTTGCAATCTAAACAAACACAATGAATTTTGCCTATATTTTGTGGAACATTCCCCCTCTAAATCAAAATCCGAGGCGCTTACATTGCGTTCCTATCAATTTACATTACAATAAGCCTTGCTTATTTTTGTAGCACATGGAAACTGTGTTTCCTGAAAGCCAGATTTTATTCAGCACAAGTTTACTTTATAGGACACAATAAATGAAAACACAGTTCTCAGGTGTGTGTGTGTGGGGGGGGGCGTCTAAGAAGGAGAAGCAAGTTACTCAAAGCTGCCCCTTCTCACCCAAAATTGTCTGCATGAATGGGCCCTGTTTGCTAAAAAACCTTCCAGGTGTTCTAAATTCAGTAGCCTTTTTGTATTCATGTTTAAGTAACACAATAACTCAATAGATAACATAAAATAAAAATGAGAAGTGCTGATAACAGCACAATAGGAACCAGAACTGTCTTGACAATCACCTAGCAGTGTAATTGTTGCTTGTTTCTCTAAACTGTAGTTGAGAATAGCTCCAGGGCTAACTTGGGATACAGAAATTTCCCTGTAATCTCTTGTCTCTCTGTGTATGTGTGTGCATACACAAACAGGACATTAATAGAAGCAAGGATCTCAGAACAGCAACTTAGTGGAAGATAATTACCTTGTGGCTGAATGTTTGAAGGAACTGAGCATTGTTCAAGAGCAAATTTTTATTTAGAAGGTTGGAGCACATATGCAAAAAGGAAGAATAAATTCTCCCTAGAAACATAATTCTGAAATTGCCTTATATAAAAAAGCAAAACAAGGAAGGAACTTGGCTAAAGGCAGTTTAACCAAAAAGCCTGCTTTCAACTTTTCAACTAGAAAGATGTTTGCTGTTCCCTGACAAAACAGAAAACCAATGTTAATAACCTCAGTGTTGTAGGAGAGCCAGAGGCCTTTCAAGAATGCCTTCAGTCTACTGACTAAC